CCCCAAAACCCCAAAACCCCAAAACCCCAAAACCCCAAAACCCCTCTCAACAAAATATGTGTTGAAATTAATAGGATTTTCCTTCTTCACTATTATCTGATTCATACATCTGGTGTTCCTCCTTAAGGGCATACAGCTTCTGGAATAACTTATGCATTGAAAACTATACTTAATAACAAGAATTACTTTTGTATTGGTCTCAGGGTATTGGAAGTCCCCTGGATCTTCAGGTCCATCTGTTGAGCAGTTATCATACCCGGAAGATTTTGCAGAATTGTTATTATTCAAGTTCAACACATTTTGAAAATTGATTGCGTTCACAGGAGTAAGAATACTAGAGCTTGGACTTTTATCACCTGAACTCAGGAACCCACTAGAGTAGCTAAAATTAGAAGATCTTTGCTTATTATGTGCTCTCTTCTTATCACTATTCTCAATACTTTGCTTGGCAGATCTGTATTCTTCAAGATCAGCTAGCTTAGAAGCAAGGAGCTCTTGAGTTTCTTTAGAATCCACTAGCCCATACTTGCACTCTTCTTGGTTTTGTACAGCTTTTAGGTGCTCTAGCTTAGACTTAAGCATGCCTTCATTGCCAGTGTCATTCAGGGAATCATTCTTGGACCGTAAATAACTTGTATGACAATTTCTTTTTATTTTCCTGCTTCTAAACGAGATTTACATTTAAAGCAACACATTGTTATAAATCTAAGGACTGCCAGTTTATTAATGGGTAGAAAAAATGCTTCAAAAATCTGGGCTTTTAAGTAAGTTTCCTTCATTTTAATAGCTTCTTTGTTATAGAAAGTGTTAGAATAAGCCAATCAAGTTGACTTACTGGTTAATGTTCTGTCTGAAGAGGCTTCCTGACACCTTGATACCCGGTTGATCAGTATCACCTCTTTCTTGAACTTTGAGGAGCTTCTTTCTCAAATTATTTTGGAATTGACGGTCGATAACTTTCTGCTTAAGCATCTTTGTCTTTAAAATGTCCTCTGGAGATTCAAAATTTTTATGCCTAAAAGGGGGAGATTAAAATTTAATCCAGAAAGTTTGTTTGATGATCGGGAAATTAGAGAAATTCAATTCCCTCTTACTTCTCTTCTTCAAAATTTCCTATTTTTATTGAGTTTAGGCTCCTATTTCTGAAGGAATCCTTCTCTTCCTCACTTTCGTTCTCTCGCCCAATATTCAGAGGAGAGTTAGTGAGAGGAGAGTGCTTAAAAGATTGATTGCATTTTTCCTCAGCTTGAGGCCTCTTTGGAGCTTGCGAGTGCAATGCAAACATCACACAGGAGTTATCCAATGCTGTTAACTTTACTCTGTAGGGAGAATGTTCACCTGAATCACCTGCTAGCTTCCTCTCCTCCAATATTTTCTCTAATCTTTTGATTATCACATCCTGGTTTTGGGAGATAAGTGAAGAATTATTATCATTCTGTATATTTCCATCCCCATTTATCGAAGAGCTTGATCTTGGATTATGAGAGGAATGAAGGATACCTCTTTCTTCCTTGAATTCCTCATTTATTTGGCTATAAATTAATGCTCAAGAGGTTCTTAACAAAGTAAATATTTCTTCTAAGGGTATTAATAGAAATATCTTCATGGAACCAGAAATCCTAACTTTGGAAATTATTTAGCAATATACCTACTTGCTATCGGAATTGCTTTCTGTTTCAGATCCCTCATAATCCTGGACTCTTTCAATCAGCGTACAGGAGTTATCTTGGGAAGTTTGAATTCTGACTGAATGTACGTTATTAAGCAAATTCCTGAGCCTCTCTTTATACTTCCTCTGACCTCGGACTCTCTCCCTCTGGAGCCGCTTTAGGCTTCTTTTAAGGATAGAGTATATTTCAGGATCGGAGAGGTCAATCGGCTTCCACTCGGCAGAAGGACTACCCAAAGAGTTATTTCGACATAAAGTGCTTAGTCTCTTGTTTAACTCTGTCGTGGACCTCATCATTTTCTTGTAAATTTCTTGTATCTATGATCTATATCCTTAGCTCAAAGGAGAATTGGGGGTTTACATGCACAGATGTCTCCTTTGCCACCTTTTCTTCCATATTCAAATTCTATTTATAGCTTTATTAAGCAATTTCTGTGTGAATATTGGGGTTTTGGGGTTTTGGGGTTTTGGGGTTTTGGGG